AAGAGAGAGAGAGAGAAGGCAAGCCGCCAGTTCCGAGACTTGAACCACGGTTGGCCATGTGGGAGTCCGGTGCCCCCAACCACATGCCACCTGCTGGCCCCCCTTTATGTATTTATTTTAATTTGATCAGGAAGGAACAGGATGAGAGAGAGAGAGAGATGAAAATGAGAAAGCAACTCGTCAGATCTAGGACTCAAACTGCACTTGACCATGTGGGAGTCCAGCATCCTTAACCACAATACCACCTGCCTGCCCCTTTTTATTTATTTATTTTAAAATATTTTTAAAAATTTATTTAGTTTTATTTATTTATTCATTTATTTTTAGTTTGACCAGAAAGAGACACAGAGAAAGAAAGAGAGAAATTGAGGAAGCAAGCTGCCAGGTCAGCCATGTGAGAGTATCCAGCATCTTAACTATCATGGCACCTGCTGGTCGCCCCCTATTTATTTTAATTTGACCAGGATAAAGTGAGAGAGAGAGAGAGGGAAAGTGAGAAAGCAAGCTGCCAGGTCCAGGACTCAAACCATCGTCAGCCTTGTGGGAGTCCAGTGCCCTTAACCACCATGTCACCTGCATAAAAATTTAAAAAAATTTATTTATTTATTAGAATAATTTAGTTAATCTTCTTTATTATCATTTTTTAATTTGACCAGAGAGAGACAGAGAAAGAGGGAAATTGAGAAAGCAAGCCAGCAGGTCAAGGACTCAAATTGTGGTCGGATATGTAGGAGGCGAGCACCTCAACCAGCATGCTACCCGCTGGCCCCTCTTTATTTACTTTTGAGAGGTTTTTCTTTTTTCTTTTTGGAGAGGTTTTTGCTATAGGGCGCATACGCTGGCCAGGAAGAGAGAGACAGACAGAAAGCGAGAAATCACCCCCCCAGGGGGGATGGCCACACGACAATCCCTTCTCCTCTATTCTCTTGGGATCCCGGGCACGCACGCATATGCGCCTGGCATGAGTTTAAGCCACTGGATCTGGGACTCAAACTGCAGTCGAGTACATAGGAGTGCAGTGACATAGCCATTACGCTAACTGCTTTTCCCCCTTTTTTTTTTAGAGGTTTTTGCTATAGGGCACGTGCACTTTGCCAGAAAGACAGAGAGAGACAGAAAGCGAGAAATCATCCCCCCTCCCCAGGAGCGATGGCCAGCTGCAATCCCTTCTCCTCCATTCTCCTCTTGGGATCTTGGGCACACTCGCACACGCATGCAGCGTGAGGTTAAGCCTCTGGGTCTGGGACTCAAACTGCAGTTAACTATATGGGAGTCCAGCGACATAGCCATTACGCCAACTGCTGGTCCCGAGAGAGGTTTTTACTAGAGGACGTGTGTGTTCACCAGAGACAGAGATGGAAAGCAAGAAATCACTCCCTGAGGGGGATGGCCATTCTGCAATCCCTTCTCTATTCTACTCTCGGAATTTTGAGAATGCACGCACATGTGCCTGGCATGACTTTGAAGCCACTGGGATGAGTTTGAAGCCATCAGATCTGGGACTCGAACTGTGGTTGACTATGTGGGAGTCCAGTGATATATCCATTACACCATCTGCTGGTCCCAAAATTTAAGTTATCTGTTGGCACTAGGAAGACGGGTAAGGGATGGAGCCAGCAGGTGGTATGCTGGTTAAAGGTGCTGGACTCCCACATGGAGCAATATGTGGGTGCTGGAATCCCACATGGCCGACTATGGTTCAAGTCCCAGACCTAGTGGCTTGCTCCCCTCCCTCCCCCCCCCCATCAAACTGGAAAATAATATTAAAGGAAATAATTCTAAAAAATATTGTTATTGTTTTTCAGTTTTGAGCAGAGAGAGTCAGAGAGAGGGGGAGATGCCAGGTCTGGGACTCGAGCTGCAGCTGGCCATGTGGAAGTCCAGCTCTTTTAACCACCAACGCCACCCACTGTCCCCCCCATCCCATACTACTTTTTTTTTTTTTTTTTGAGAGTACAACAGGACCACATCTTGATTTTATTTAGTAATAACACTGATCAAGTTTTTAACTCACGTGAGTGTGAAACTTGATAAATGCTATCTGTACCAAAAATAAAACTTTTTAAAACAAGTACTGAATGTTAAGTACCTCTTGATAAGGGATTTGCCACCTAGAGCACGCCATGGGCCTGAAGCATGAGCACACGTGATGGCGGTGACGCTCCGCATAACCTGCACCAGCCAGGCGGGAAGCGCCTCCCTCACTCGGGCCCCACACTACCTGGTCTCCCGGGGAGGAGTGGGCCAGTCCTGGAGCCGAGCACATCTGTGGGTGAGCAGCACACTAAGCCATCCTACGAGTCCTCGCTCTGGGACGGCTCCACGATTCAAAAACAGCAGCCCGCAAACTCCACGAACAAGGGCTCCTGCATGCAGACCCTCATGAGCTTCGCTTTGTCCCCGTGGTCCAGGCTGACCATCAGCTGTCACAGGTGGGGATTGAGCAGTAATGTTCTTAACGTTGCAGAGTCCTCTAAATTCTTTAAATTCTGCAAAGAAACTCTGTCCTCTTCCTCGTCACTATTGAGAAAATCCGCTATAGAGTCATCGTCATCTTGGTTTTCCACAGGCTTTACAGTTTTTGCAGGTATTTTTTTCTCAACAGGACGAGTTCCAGGGTTGCACTGTTCTCTGTGCGTCCGGAAGCAGGTCACGGAGCAGTAGGGCACGCGGCAGGCCAGGCAGCAGTACGTGGGCTTCTCCAGGCAGACCACGCAGACCACGCAGACCACGGAGCTACAGTTCAGCGACGCCATGACCTCCCGCAGCGGCCCCGCACTGCCGCACCCCATACTACTTTTTTAAAGAATTGTTTTTTTAACTTTATTTATTCATTCATTTATTTATTTTAATTTGACCAGAAAGGGACAGAGTGAGAGAAAGAGAGAAAGTGAGAAAGCAAGCCACCAGGTCCAGGATTTGAACCAGAGTTAGCCATGTGGGAGTCCAGCACCTTAACCACCATACCACCTTTTGGCCCTATTATACATTATTAATAGGAGGATAAAGTGATAGAATTTGGGGAGAAAGAAGCATGCTCATGGATTATATTAGCTTGCTCAGGTTACCATAACAGAGTACCACAAACTGGGCCTTAGTGCTGGGGGCTAGAAGTCTGAGATCACGGTGCTGGCAGAAATGCTTCATTAAAGGTCTGTGAGGAAGAAATCTGCTCCATGACTGTCTTCTAGTTCTGGTGGTTTGCTGGCAGACTTTGGCATTTCTTGGCTAGTAGAGCCTCACCCCAGTCTCTGCCTAGTTGTTCACATGGTAGTCTCTTTGAAGTTCCCTTTTAATAAGAACACAAGTCATATTGGGTAGGGCCTAATTCATAATACTACCTTCTCACCATTTTTAAGTATACAGTCCACTGGCATTAAGTACATTCGCTTTGTTGTACCTTCATCACCATTTGAATCTCCAGAACTTTTTCATCTTCGCAAGTGGAAACTCGGAACCTGTCAAACAACTCTCTCTGACTCCTTTCCTCCAGTCCTTGGCAACCACCCACCATTCTGTTTTCTGTCTCCACTGATTGACTATTCTATAAGAGATCCATATAAGTGGAATCATACAGTGTTTTTCCTTTTGGAAAGTTTTTTTCTTCCAGTTATTCTCACAGTATTCATCCATGTTGTAGAATGTGTTAGAATTTCCTTCCTTTTTATTATTATATTTTTGGAGAGGTTTTTGCTATAGAGCATGTGCGCTCCCCAGAAAGACAGAGAAACAAAGTGAGAGATCACTTGGGAGGGGGGTGGCCATGCCACGATCCCTTCTCTTCCATTTTCCTCTTTGGGGCGCGCACACACACCTGGCCTAAGATTTAAGCCACTAAGTCCTGTACTTGAGCAGCAGTCAGCTACGTGGGAGTCCAGTGATGCAACCATTACACTATCTGCTGGTCCTGAATTTCCTTCCTTTTAAAAACTAAATAATCTGGGGACCAGCAGTTGGCATAATGGCTTTGTCACTGGACTCCCACGTAGTTGATCACGGTTCGCCTCCGGGCCCCGGTGGCTTAAAACTCACGCCAGGCACGTGTGCGTGCGTGTGTGCATGCCCAAGATCCGGAGAGGAGAACAGAGGAGAAGGGACTGCGGCATGGCCATCCCCCCTGGGGGGTGATTTCTCGCTTTCTGTCTCTCTGTCTCT